ATTTTTATTGTTGTTTTTCATACTTGAAAGTGGCGATTTTCACGGTTTTTTAAACTTTGTACAATTAATATCTCGAAAAGTATTGATTTTAGAGAAAATTTGCAAGACATCTTTTTTGTTTAGAATTGTCCAAAAAAGCTAAAAAAAATTTTTCCAGGGCAAAATAAACAATATTTTTAATTTGTTTAAAAAATTTTGTTTAAACATTTTTCCTACAACTTTGAAGCCTGGCAACATGTAAATTCGTTTTTAGGTGATCATTTTGCGTAAGATCATGCAAAAAAATCCTATCCAAATAATTTCTCCCACGAATTCCAGATTAAGACCCGGACTAATTGGGATTCCAAAAGGTCACGTGACTCTCGCGGTATATATAGTCACTTGAGGGAAAAATAACACAGGCCTTATGGGTGCAATTCTATTTTGATTTTTTTTACATGTTCAACGATAGTATTAAGATAACAGCCTTTTAATAACATGTTTTCGAGGAGATGACATTAGCTTAGCTATTTTTTCCAAACTCAATTAGTCTTTTGCAGCTTAAAACTTTCCTTTGAAAGTGCGAAAACGTACATTTAACCTTACCAAAATCTTTAGAGTTAGAAAAAAATAGTTAAAGTATAGTCATCTCCTCAAAAATATGTTATTGAACGGCTTTTATTATATTACAATCATTGGACGTGTAAAAAAAATAAAAATATAATTGCACCTACAAGCAGGCCTGTGTTATTTTTCCCTCAAGTAGACATACAAATCGCGAGTCACGTGACCTTTTGGAATCCCAATAGCCTATTGTTATGGCAAGTATGAATATATAGTACAAAATCTAAATCAGTTGTGGATGAAGTACTTCACTATGTGTTAGGACTTGAGGTTCTGTTATTCATTTTGCTCACTCAAGTGCATAAAATATTACCTCACTTTATTTGTTTAATAAAATGCTCTGCACTGGGTCGTTTTTTCTACTAATGTTCTTAACTAAGCCGTCAATAGTACCGCATGAAACACCTAAGCCTACTTCTGCACAATATGTCTAGAAACCTTCGGAGGACGAAACTTACAATAAAGTTGATAAGACATTAGAAACAAGGTAGCAGGGCTAATCATTTTAACACCTGGAGATTCCTCAGCAAATTTAATTGATTATGGATACAGTTTTTACTCGACTTGATTTAAATGTATCTAGTTAGTTTCAAGTTCCGTTGACGACCAACCATTACTTCAAAAAATTGTGCATAGAAAGAAATTATTCCTATTCAATGTTTTTAAAAAAAATATTCTCTATCACATAAACAGATAGTTTAAATATGTATTATAAATAAAACTAGCGAAAAAAAAAATATGCATGGTACTTGAAAGGCTTCTTCAAATTCATCAATTAAATTTCCATTGCCATTTGTCGACGTTGTCATTGTAAAACCTTAAATTGAACACAGCAGCCTTCGATTGCCTAGATAAAAAGTTTACAACACAATCAAGATTTACTCTGGATCTAAAGCACACAAAGCCAAAATCGAAATAGACCAAGAACTGAGGCCCGAGGACGGTCAAAATTTTAACCAGCCGCCACTCGCACCAAAATTGAGGAACTGTATGATTCGTCTAGATCCGAAATATTTCGGTCATATTCCATTTTGGTAAAGAGTAATGTAGTAATTATAGTCGTGCCGCATAATCTTTTATATTAACAAGCCGCAACTTACAAAAATGAATAGTGGAGCTATTCACGAAGACATTTTTTCCTTATTTCATTGTGAACGTTCATATTGAAAAGGGGGTTCCACTGTTCCGCTAAACTCAAAGTGAGTGAGCAAACCAGGGTTGTTTATAAAAGTTGCTTTTTAGAATTAGAAGTTTTGGAAGTTTTAAAACTTTTAAAAGTTCTGTTTTGTTTGCTACAATCTATACAGCTATAGCTATAAGGCATAGGGTTTATAGAGTATAGAGGTAATGCGTGTTGTGTTCTACTACTGTAACTAGTGTACGAACCCTTATTCTTTTTTGTCAATCAGTTGATGCCAGAGATCTCAGAAGTAATAGAATAACTTGGCGGGAAATTCAAAAAGACTATATAGGGCATGACGCAGAAACCCAGAAAAAACTTTTATGCATAATAAATTAATAAAATAAACCCAAGCTATTCAACCCAATGACCCGGGGTGACTACTAGCAAATATCTCAAATATGATGTCTTTATCGGTCATTATGTTGACATAATGTGTTTTATTTTTCGATGGTTCGAAACCGAAATTGCATAAGAGTG